GACATATGCACATCAAATTATCAGATTTTTTATAGGTATTTTAATAATAACAGATTTTGTTTACTTTTCTATGGGTTCCGTACCAATGTTTATATCTTATACCGCGACTCGACGCCCACGCGCTTCAATATTTTGTTTCTATACAGCTAACGTATCGCGATTGCTTCAGAATTTTCAAAATATTTCATAGTATGAAAATATCAAATTTTTCAAAAAGGTCATTTTTTTTTCAAAAATTTTAAAAATATCAATTGATTTTTTTGGTTGGTTTAGTAAAAGCAAATTGAATCTTTTTACGGCTGAACCTTGTTTTTTTTTATTTCAATTTTTGGTACGGGAAGTTTCACCAATTTACCTTAAGGCACGATGCCACACACCACTAGTTTTACTTAAATTCATATGGGCTCATTTACCATTACGTGAACTTTTGATTTTGAGATTTCATGTTTCATTTTCTAAGAGTTTATTTATTGCCTACACTCCATTTACCTAAGAATTACTTTACCTAAGAAAATTTTTAGAACTGATTTTAGGTAGATTGTATAATTACAGATTTCATTTATTATTAATTTAAATTTTTGCATATTTTGACCTATTGACTTTAGTTATGGTATACTACTTGGCAATATTATGCATTTTCTGCTCACCAGTATTTGTTTTCATAAACCAATTATTTCCTTCACCAATGGGTCAATTATTTCGACTGCCTTTTCCCTGTCGGGCTAATGAAAATTCATAATGATTATTTACGATTCCATTAGGAAAAGTTTACAGTGCAAGTTGTAATGAATTATTTAACATATATCATCTAATTGCATAGGCAACGCAATAAAGCACGTCATGGCACGTACTTACTAATACCTTTAATTAATAACGATACAGGAACTGCCTCCATTAGAACTACGTATCGAGATTATTTTATTTTTCAATTAGTTTATACAGTTATAATTCTAATAAGTAGAATACAGTTACGAGACAAATTGAGTGTGGGTACAAGGTAACTGAAAATATAATAATAAAAGGTTTTATTTATAGAAGAATGTGAATTATTGTTGCTAATTACTGTAAAATATAACGATTTTTTAAATTATTGTAGGTACTGGAAGTCTTGATACTATTGGTATATCTATGAACTAACAAGTCCAGGACAAAATCTTTCTGCATGGAATAAATGGATGATGATGACGGTGCAAGTATACTTTTTTGCAGGCCATTACCACTGAACAAATTTTGGAAGGAAAATAAATAAAATACAAATAATAACGTTAATGTGAAATAAACAGTATTTGAGGACCCATAAGATTTGAAGGTATCTCATTAGAAAAAAGGATTCATGAAAAATCATCTTATAGTCTGAAAATATTAATTCATATTCTGATTGACTCTTAATGGAAAGTATGATGGAAAAAAGTGATGTCAATTTAAGTTACCAGTTATAACTACATTTTAAATTATATTTGCTTAAAATGTATTCATAAAACATCTTTATGATATACTTGAATTTCTTATTATATAGCATGAATTTGGTTTTATATATTAGTGATATAGAAAAAAAACTGGAAATATGCAGCTAAAGTTTGATAATTTCGTGCGAACAAATTCATTTTTACTTTGTCTCAATATATGATTCATGAACATGGTTGATATTTTTATTACTCATTTTCAATTTTAATTGGTTACTTAACGTTATAAGTACACCTAAGTCTGTTTTTACACGGAGATTGGTTCCAGAAGAATCCGTGTAAAAAAAAAACGTGTAAAAAAAGACATTGATCTTATACAAAAATGGGTGATTTGTTCCTAATCTCTAAAACTTATTAAAATTGGTGAAAAACAAGAATTTTTAAGAACAAGAATTAAATTAGTGCTATTCACATTTGCTAAAAAACCAGTAAAAATTGTTTGTACGCGCTAAAGGGGAATTCACTTAAATCTTTAAGCTAGTGTTCGCAAACTATCGATACTATCGATGGTTACAGACTTTTTTCTTTCATAAATACTTTTTTGTGATATGAACATACTTCGCAAAAATTTAAATTGACAAAAAAAATTTAGGTACATATAATTTCAAATCGTGCTAAATGGAATAAATTCGTGTAAAAAATTTAAAAATATTCAATTTTCAAACCGTGTTATATCAAAACCGTGTACAAAAAGACCGTGTAAAAACAGACTTAGGTGTATTTTATTCTTTAATTTAAATGATTGAATTGAATAATTTTGCTTCATATTTGATCATTTTTCATAATATTATCTATTCCTAAACTAACATAAATTGTTATATATCTAATAAATTATATTTTGCAACCTTTTTTACACACAAGAATTAAAATATATAGATTCTATATTGAATATAAAACATTCAATATTCTGGAATTTTCACTTCTGACATAAGAATTAAAATATTGACTATTTCATTTAATTTAAAATTATGTGCTTTTCTAATCCAAAACTTGTATAATTATAGGTTTTTAATACTAGTTTGTTTTCTTAAATTATTTATTTAGTGCCTTTTATTTAAATTGTCTTTTTATTTTGCAGATTCAGTGTATCATTGCGGAATTCTTCTCAGCAATTGACGAAACTGGTTTTCTCAATGATTTGATAGATGTTTTTGATTTCTGAGATCATTGTGAAAGCTGATTTTGTATAACATTCTTCAGATGATGGAATATCGATGGAAAAAAATTACATCTAGAAGTCATGCTTTATAATTCTATTATTTGTATTGTTTTTCTAATTACAGGATCAAGTATGGGAATTGGAACAATATCAAAAAAATGGAACTAAAAATTAGGCAAGACAAGAAGTATTTTCCATATATTTGTACATTGAAATACTGATTAATCAGAATTTGATCATGAAGATAGTTGGAACATGTTTGCTGAAAAACTAGCATACTAGCTCAATCAGAATTTTGTAGGAAATATATATGCTGAAATATTAGCTTTCTTCAACTACAACTTAAAAACTAAATCTTCAAAAACAAAAGCCCGGAATATTGAATGTTTTATGTTAAATATTGAATATTTTACATTAAATATAGAATTTATATTTTATTTTGAAAACAGTTCTGAGAAATGTTTGATAATTACCTAATGGCTACAGTTTATTAAATGATGTTTTATTATTCAATACATTGTTCAAGCATATTTATGCAATGTTATAAAATGATATGTAATTTTCTATTTGGCCTATCTAGAAGTAGAAGAAATCTTATATAAGTTGAATTAATTGAAAATATTTCAACTAAATAAATAGTCTTTTCTTATTGAGTTACAATAATGATTTTGTATAAAATTTTTAACCATTTAAAATTGTAACATAACTAAAAAACTAGATCTTAAAAAGAATATTTTTACAAAAGCTATCGCTTCATATACGTTTTATTATTATTTTATTATTTATTTATTTTATTACATAGCTCGCACAGCAGCTTCAAAAGGACTTGGTTCCAGAAGGAAAATGCAATTAACAATTGTTAGAATATATAATAGTTATAATAATACATAAGTTGTTGAGTAATTGTTAATACAAAATTAAATATTATTCAAAAAATCGCATAAATGAAGATAAGAAAAAATTAACTTGTACAGATGGAAATTGCTAGTTTTAGTTATGTATTATGAATATTGGTATATTTATTATTTCGGTTAAAGTTAACTTCAGTTTGAAATATTATATATATAATATTTATTTAAATATTATTAATTTATAATAAAAATAAAAAATGGCTCATAACCCAGCCGTCGAACTTAATCTACGAAAGAAGAAATGGTCCATCGATTATATTTATAAATATTTATATTCATAAGCTCTTATGCACAATAATATATATTTTTTATATTATTCATGGATTGAAGTTACCTTATAAAACGATTTCACAAAAGTAAATCCTGATTTACAATTTGCCAATTGTAATCTGATTAGATTATATCAAGATTAGTTGTCATAATTAGAAGAGGTATGGTGCAGATATAATAAAAAACTTTTAAAACATATGGATGAAGAGATTGTTTAAGTATTTTATGGTCTCATACACAATATATTTTTTTTATAAATAATATTAAAAATACTTCTTTCATGAAGGTTTGAAAATACCTTATGAATTGATATTGATATTAAAAAACTAAATCGAATTTGAATCTGATTAGAATATATCAAGATTAGTTGTGGTGATAATTAAAAGAGGTATGATACAAATAGTGCTTTAATTTTAATAATATTAGATAAGTCAGATACTATAAAGTATACTTTATATGACATAAAAATATTTATTTCTAAATTCAATTTGAAAAAATATATTCTTCTTAGCGCGACAGAAAGAATTAAAAAAAAATCAGATTCAAAGATCTTAAATGCTCCTAGTTTCTAGACTGCCTTTATTATCATAATACTTAAATTTAATTTTTAATAAATTTAAACCATTATTTTAAATATTGGTACAAAAACTGAACTTGTTCAATCAGTTTTTGTGACCCACTTCATTGAGAAATATAAAATTGCGAAACATTTAATCAAACGACATTTTGAAATTTCTTGCATCAGTTTTATCTGACAGTTCAGTCCATCAGTCGTTCGTTAGACGTTGTATCGATTTTATAGAAAAATATCGTAAAATAAGAAGTTTAAAGAGATTATTAAGTGTTATAATATTTAATTAATTATTATATTGTGCCTTGCAATAGTTAAAGTTGGATGATAACTTTATTTCGATTGATTTGTGAGTTTTGCAAACAGTGTGTTATTGAGGTTATGTGCACACGGTTAAAATGTGTTTAATCATAAAAAAGTGATTTGTTCTACAAATAGTGCTAAAATATATGGGATTTTTACTATTTTCAATTGTTCAGTGTAAATAAGTCTGTGAATAAGTTGAAACTTTGTTATTTAACAGTTTTGTGTTTGAGGTTATGTATAGTGTCATCCATGATATAGTTGGAATCACAGGGTGATCTTATATGATTTGTGATCAAATTTCCTGGATTAATAATTGGAAGTCTTATTCTCTTGGCTAAATAGTTTAAAGGTATGTGTAATACATAGTTATTTTACAAAAATCATTTCACTATATTGTATTACTATATATTGTTACGAATTCTTAAGTAGCCCCCATCGGAGACGCCATTATAGTCCAGGGTGTCAGGGTACTCTTCAAGAAAATGAAGTGTATCATTGTTAACTAAAGATTTGTATTATTCTATATGAATTTGCAATTATTATAGTAGATGATTCCGAGATTGGCTTGGTTATTGGTTTTTGTACATGATTCAATAGTTAAATTGTACAAGAGATAGAGTCCATAGTTTTAGCTTCATACTTGGATTGAATCTTAGGAGATTCAAATGATTTTTATTAAGGGGCGTCCATTAATCACATGAGGTTTTTAGGGGGAGAGAGGGGGTTTGATAAAAAATTACGAAATATCACGTGGGGGAGAGAGGGGTATAGAAAAATATCACGTGTATTTATTTTTTACCTGAATTTTTTTTAAAAAATCAAAAAATTTACAATTTTTTCTCGTATATTTAAATACACGTGATGTTTGGTGGGGGAGGGCGGTAATTATGAATATTACCACGGATCAATAAAGGTAATGGGAGGTCCAAAATTCCTTAAAAAATCTATCACGTGATTAATGGATGCCCTTTAATGTATTTGAATAAATCATAAGTACATTGTTTATATAACCATATGCTTATATGCATACATTATTTTTTATTTATACTTATAGTACTTTTATTTATATTTATACTTACAACAATAATACAAAAAATACTCATCTTGACCCTCTATGGCCGAATTTTTGTTCTACTTCCGAAAAAGTTATGGAAACAAAATGTCAATAATTATAAGCTTTTATATGCAAATGGCAAACTAAAAATTTTCCTTAAACCATTTTTCTGATATTAATGAATGTGAGCCTCAAGTCACCCCGTCCTATTCTCTGTATGAAAAATTTTATTTTAGGGGGCGTCCATTAATCATTTGTGGCTTTTAGGGGGAAGGGGGGTTTGATAAGAAATCACGAAAAATCATGCAGGAGAGGAAGGGGTCTAGCTATATTACGTGTATTTATTTTTTATCTAATTTTTCAGAAAAAAAGATTTTTTTGTAAATTCAAAAAATTAGTTCGTAACTAAAAATACAAGAGGGCCAATTTAAATATCACGACGTATCACCAAGGCAGAGGGAGGCCCAATAATCCTTAAAAAATCGATCACGTGATTAATTGACTTCATCTTGGTTGAAAAGCCTAGCAAAGGTCATATATGTTGATATTGTTTGTCTCGACAACGTTATATAATAAAATTATGGGTCATTCTACAAAGTCATAATTATTTAATATGTAAAGTTTGGAATGTGACCTATTTGTGACTTAAATATAACTCGTGTTTAAAGACAACCCTTTTTGTTCTAATTAAAAAGGACTAATTTTATTACATTGACTATCTAACTTCATTCAAATTATTTCGGCGCCAATTTTAAATATTAACGTGCAAGAATTAATATTCATATTAGTATTTCAGTGCAATCTTTTCGCTAACTATGGTTAGTAATTAACTATTATTAAAAGTCTGAAACTATTCATAATAACTATATACCTATACTATTATGATATATTATTTTGAATATATCGTTTATTTACATATATTTAACTGAAATCTGTTAAAAATGCTGTATTATACTATATAATAATTTGTAAACTATTATAATTATTTTTACAATTTCTTAAATAATTCGCCTAGCAGTCATTTTATACAATATACATAAGCGTTGAAGGAAGATTAATAAACTTAGATTTAGTAAAATATTAAACTTAGAAGAAAATTTAATTTTGAGTTAGAAGAAAAAAGTAATGTTTTTCTTTAACAATAATGTTTTTAATCATTTTATTAATTTATTCATTTCAAAACCAAGAATAAATAATCAATATGGTATTACAATTGCTAAAGCAATTTGTAATATTGGATTTTGGTTGGATTTCTAAATTGTTTAGAATCTGATATCGTGGAGTAGACGTTTCCTCAAACAAAAATTGATTTAAAAGACGTGACAATAGTGGTAGTCACGAACTTTTTTACTCTAAAAGATTTTGGTCTAAATCTACTTTTAAAATATAATCTCCAAAAGACACAAACTTCTAATTACAATTTTATCATATCTACAACTTTCTGTTGCCACTTTGATATGACAAACGTATTACCATTGGTATTCGATCGAGCGTTTTGCACATAAAACCTAACCTGTAAAAGGCATAAACTTCAGACCAAACAGTTACACCAAAAATATAGCCTTTCGATAGTTTGTGGCTACCTTATAGACCTGCAACATTATATATCTATTTTATCCAAAAAAGAATCAAAACGAAAAGTTAGCTTTCAATTTTTTTTGCCGTATTGATTATTGTTATTTCCCCAACTATTAATATTTTTTTTTATTACATATTTCTCAAACTCTACGTTGGCTCGTTGGTATTTGCAATACACGTTTGGATGCTTTAAAATATGTGCGAATATTCTTCTTCTTCTTAGAAAAGTAAATATATTAAAATTCAATGATCTTCTCTATTATATACTCTTTCACTATTCTATACACAAATAGTATTACTCATTGACGTACTATATTATATTTACAAACATGGTTATATACTCTCGTACTATTATGTACACAAATACTATTACTCATTGACGTACTATATTATATTTACAAACATGGTTATATACTCTCGTACTATTATATACACAAATAGTATTACTCATTGACGTACTATATTATATTTACAAACATGGTTATATACTCTCGTACTATTATATACACAAATACTATTACTCATTGACGTACTATATTATATTTACAAACATGGTTATATACTCTCGTACTATTAATACACAAATACTATAACTCATTGACGTACTATATTATAGTTACAAACATGGTTATATACTCTCGTACTATTATGTACACAAATACTATTACTCATTGACGTACTATATTATATTTACAAACATTGTTATATACTCTCGTACTAATAATACACAAATACTATTACTCATTGACATACTATAATATATTTACAAACATGGCTATATACTCTCGTACTATTATATACACAAATACTATTACTCATTGACGTACTATATTATATTTACAAACACTATTATATACTCTCGTACTATTATATACACAAATACTATTACTCATTGACGTACTAGATTATATTTACTAACACTATTATATACTCTTTTACTATTATATACACAAATACTGTTACTCATTGACGTACTATATTATATTTACAAACACTATTATATACTCTTTTACTATTATATACACAAATACTATTACTCATTGACGTACTATATTATATTTACAACCACTATTATATACTCTTTTACTATTATATACACAAATACTATTACTCATTGACGTACTATATTATATTTACAAACATGGTTATATACTCTCGTACTATTATATACACAAATACTATTACTCATTGACGTACTATATTATATTTACAAATACTATTACTCATTGACGTACTATATTATATTTACAAACACTATTATATACTCTTTTTCTATTATATACACAAATACTATTACTCATTGACGTACTATATTATATTTACAAACACTATTATATACTCTTTTACTATTATATACACAAATACTATTACTCATTGACGTACTATATTATATTTACAAACACTATTATATACTCTTTTACTATTATATACACAAATACTATTACTCATTGACGTACTATATTATATTTACGAACATGGTTATATACTCTCGTACTATTAATACACAAATACTATTACTCATTGACGTACTATATTATATTTACAAACATGGTTATATACTCTCGTACTATTATGTACACAAATACTATTACTCATTGACGTACTATATTATATTTACAAACATGGTTATATACTCTCGTACTATTATGTACACAAATACTATTACTCATTGACGTACTATATTATATTCACAAACATGGTTATATACTCTCGTACTATTAATACACAAATACTATTACTCATTGACGTACTATATTATATTTACAAACATGGTTATATACTCTCGTACTATTATGTACACAAATACTATTACTCATTGACGTACTATATTATATTTACGAACATGGTTATATACTCTCGTACTATTAATACACAAATACTATTACTCATTGACGTAATAATATTATATTAACAAACATGGTTATATACTCTCGTACTATTAATATACACAAATACTATTACTCATTGACGTACTATATTATATTTACAAACATGGTTATACTCTCGTACTATTATATACACAAATACTATTACTCATTGACGTACTATATTATATTTACAACACTATTATATACTCTTATACTTTATATACACAAATACTATTACTCATTGACGTACTATATTATATTTACAACATGGTTATATACTCTCGTACTATTAATACATACAAATACTTTACTCATGACGTACTATATTATATTTACAAACACTATTATATACTCTTTTACTATTATATACACAAATACTATTACTCATTGACGTACTATATTATATTTACAAACACTATTATACTCTTTTACTATTATATACACAAATACTATTACTCATTGACGTACTATATTATATTTACGAACACTATTATATACTCTTTTACTATTATATACACAAATACTATTACTCATTGACGTACTATATTATATTTACAAACACTATTATATACTCTTTTACTATTATATACACAAATACTATTACTCATTGACGTACTATATTATATTTACAAACACTATTATATACTCTTTTACTATTATATACACAAATACTATTATTACTTATTGACGTACTATATTATATTTACAAACACTATTATATACTCTTTTACTATTATATACACAAATACTATTACTCATTGACGTACTATATTATATTTACGAACACTATTATATACTCTTTTACTATTATATACACAAATACTATTACTCATTGACGTACTATATTAT